TAAAGGTCCTTACAAATTATATGTGACCTTATTTAGTAATTTTACTCTTAAAAGTGCAAGGAAAATAATATTTAATTTCATATTTTACTGTAGTTTAATTTTTAAATTTTGTTTGATATTTTTCTTTTTCTTCTTCTCTTTTTTAATAGATTAGGTGATATTTTTCCTTATTGTTAATTGAATTTTCTAAATTATTATCAAACTGATGATAACGTTGGGGCAGGGCAGGATTTTGATCATTTTTTCATCAAATTTAAATTTGATAAAAGAAAAAGTAAAACGTTAGAGATAGACTTATATTTGATGTATGTGTTATTTGTATATATATCTATATACATGGAAAAAAAAATTATTGGTACTTATCATTTTACCCACATTTTTTTTTTATGATTATGTATACAATAATACTATATATTTATGATTTTTTTTTATATTTTTTATTATTATCTAAGCATGGCTCATATCTCATTACATTGATTTTGAATCTATATTATATACGTTAAAGTTAAAATTTTGAATAAATAATTTATTATTTTTTTTAATACATGAGAAGCTCAATTTTAAAATTTTCCCTTCGGCCCCTAAGATATGAGGACCAGCTTTGCCTACCCTATTTCTAGAGAGGTTATTTTTGTGACTTGAACTTGTGTCATTAGGACACTAAAAGCATCTCCATCTCTCCCCCTAAACCTATCCCTCACCTATTTTAAGGGATTGAAATCTCTTTATACACTTCCATCAGCTTTCCTAAATAATTCTTTAAACTAGTTTTTACTACAGTGGCTCCCTATTTGTAGGAAGTTACTGTAGCTCCCTTATATATATATATATATATATTGCTTTACTTTATTTAGGGACTGCAATACACATTTATAATTTTTATTTTTTTAAAATTTATAATTAAAAATTATATTTTAATAAAATAGAGAAAAAATAGAGATTGTTAATAGAATAGGGAAAAAAAAATAGGGAATCTGTTGGGGGAAGTAGATGAAAAAGTGATTCTTAAAACAGAGAATGAATTTTTTAATAATATTTTAGGATAAAATTTAGGTAATCTGATAAGAATGCCCCTAATGGCAAGCTAAGATAGAGATCATTGATGCAAATCCAACTCCAACACAAAGAAAGGAAAATGATTAATTTCCAAACATGTTTTCCAAATAGTACGAGAATGCAATATGAAGTTCTGGGTCGAGCCAAAGAGTCAAGCTTTGCCTTCAATAATTATTTTTGCTACAGCAGTTGTTAAAAGTTGCCACAAAAGAATAATACTACTATTAATTTCCTCACTTTATCCATATCAGGTCATCGTCAAGGTTTGTCCAAGTAATTGCTAAAGTAAACACTACGGCCATGTTTATTTGGATGGACTGGATTAGGTTGGATTAGTATTTTCATGAGTAATAATCCTAGAACTACGAATCCCTTTAGATTGTGTATCCTATCCTATGTTTGGATTGAGTTAGTATTATAAGGAATGACTAATAATTCAGACTTTGACTTAGCCTTCCAATTTATATCCCACCCCCTTTCATATGTGGGATACCATATCTGGCTGAATTGTTAATACGTACTTCAATTGTTTAACCGAACATCGGATTAATAATTTTATTGGACTATTAGTCCAATCCCAAGCTCATGTCTATCCAAACAAACATGGCCTACATGTACAGTTTTTTTATTTCTTGAAGAATAGCAACAAGAACAAGAGATTGATTAATAATAGGAAAATGGTAGTAAACCCTACATGTACAATTTTTTTATTTGTTGAACAATAGCAACAAGAAGAAGAGATTGATTAAGAATAGGAAAATGGAAGATTTTTTTAGCAGATCAAAAGAAAATAGTTGGTTTTAATTCTTTTACAATGGAGTATTTCATTAATATATATGTTAATGGTTATTGTAGGAGATCAACCCAAATTGAGTTGGCAGCCACATGGAAGGGTGGCCAACCCACATGGTAAAAGGAAGGCAAAAGAGGTTGGCATGAGTTGGCAAGCCATGAGGCTTGAGTTGGCAGCCATGAGGCTTGCCATGCGCCAGCAACAAAGGAGAAAGCATGGAGTTGGCCATGTGAAGTCCTCACATGGTGGGACAAAGCTTTTAACTGGACAGCAGCTCAAAGGAGAATATTGGGCTGGCAGCCAACACACCCATGAGGCCTCCTCCACCTTCTGTTTTGGTGTATAAAATGGAATGGTGATGGTGAGTTGAATACACGGCAAACATAGCAAGCAAGAGAGAAACACACTGCTGAGAGAGAGGCACAAAACAGAAAGAGCTAGTGAGAGCTATATTCTGTTTGTGTATCAGAGAGTGTGAGAGAGTGTGTTATATAGAGAGACAGTGAGTTGAGAGTGAGTAATCTCCTCCATTTGTTGATATATAACAACATCGCTCCCGTGGACGTAGGCCGGTTTGCCGAACCACGTTAAAAGCCTTGTGTTTTTGCTTGTGAGTGTCCCCTGGTGTGCCCAAGATCCGCAACAGTTATTACTTGTTTGAAAAAAAAAAAAATTAAAATTAAAAATTCATGTCCTGATAGAATGCCATTCAAACAAACCAGGTACTCAAACCTGCTCGCACATCCAATTCAGATTGAAACATTAGATTGCAGATTTCAACAATGATGTTAAAGCTTTATGTTTATGAATTCAAAATAACACCATGAAACTAGTTATTTCAAATTCAGCCATAGAAGCATTCTAGTACAGCAAGGATCCTTCAGCCCTCCCCAATAGCTATTTCAATACATTAGTAACTAGCAACCAAGCTTCCTATATTGTTTGTATTATCTTAACCTCAAATCCCTTCATTTCAAATTCATCCATCCAAATGCAACCGGTATTGGTCTATCTAATGACAACATACCATCTGCAAGAAATACATCTAATATTTTTTGATAACAACACATGCTTAAACTAGTAACAGGAATATGCCTCCATTTTAATAGGTAGATTCAAGGAAAGAAGACACATGCCCTGCATAATTGAGCTCACTTACACAAATTATCTTATTTTATTGCAAACCCAACCTTTAAAGAAATGGCATGAGGGATTTGTTCTTGTGCTCTTGATTTGATTGACAAAGTAAAATGTTGCAAAAGAGCTCAACCAAGAATCAGTTTAGTTAAATAAGAAGTTGAGAACAAATTAGACAACCAATAGTATGACTCCCAGCAAAGAAACAGACCAAAGTCCAATAACAATCAAGAACACATAAGACAAACCGTAGTTGGAACAGAGAGTGAAGACCAAAATGCACATCCTCTGCAGTTAAGATTGCTCATAGAAAGCTCATCAGTAAGGGAAAAATCATGTAATCTTGACAGCAACCAGGAAAAAATGAAGCTTGTGACCTTCTCATTAACGGTTGTGTGGTTTTGTCACCTAACATCCTATTCAAAAAGAGGTGAATTTTTTTTTTCACATCCTGAACTTGGGCTGAGAAGAAAAAGCACATCCTCTTCCCAATGAGAAGTAAATCCAAATGCATCAAATTCACTCTGAAGATACTTGGCCTCATCATCTGCTTTATCAACCATATATCAGTGACTAGGTTCCCAACCTTCTTCACGTCTCCTTCAATAACATCACCATTGGAGCAAGGTTCTTCAAAACTAAGGAAATGTCAGTTTCAGAAGAACCGGCAAGCTTAAATCGCTCAACCACATCATCTAGATTCTTTGTCCACCTTTTCAACCCTCGCACTTGGATTTTTTTAGCTCTCTTCTATTCCAGTTTCTCCCACATCACGGTCGCGACTTTCATTTTCTCCTCTGCACTATCAAAAAGTTCAATAATTTCAGTGGGATCCCATTTTGAAATATCTTCTTTCTTGGAAAGTATACAAGACCAATGCAGTTTTGCCATTTCAAATTGTTGTTGCCACAATGCAAGTAACCCCTCAAAAATCTGGTTTAATCAAGAGTGCATCCTGGTATTTCTCTCTGGCCAGAGAGTATTTTTTTCCTCACCCAATCATAAACTGTTTGGAATTGTGTTGCAACCACCTCTTTTGCCCCGAGTCATTAATTGGATATGTTTCCTCACAACACACATATGAACATTTCCTCAATTGAGGAAAGCAAGTGCAGCAACTTCTTGGAATTTTAAGGCAGCCTTATCAGAAAGGCTTTGAGCCTCTTTACTCGTTACTATCTCTTCAAGTAACACTTCTCTATCCCAATTACTACAACAAAAGACAGATTTGACGACTAACTTTTTAGTCGCTAAAGGTCCAATTTTGGTTGCCAAAACCTTTTGCTGACTAATATTTTTGGTCGCCACCTTTGTCGTTGAAAGATAGTCAGGAAAAGTAATTGGCGACTAAAAAAATTTTAGTCACTAAAAGCATACAATTGGCTACTAATAATTTAGTTGCCAAAAGTGTTTCAACTAAATTTAACATGACATTTTCAGTGATTGATATTTTTGTTCACCAAAACCTAAACTGTTTAGCTACTAAAACTTTAGTTGCCTAAGGTCTAACATTTTTTGTTTGGCTACTAATATTTTAGTCGCTTAAAGCACTTTTCAGCGACTAATATTTTTGTCGCTAAAGCTTAAATTGCTTAGCTACTAGCACTTTCGTCGCCTAAGGTTCAATATTTTCTGTTTTGGCTACTAATAGTTTGGTCGCCAAAAGTGTTTTTCCTTCCTTTTTTTTGGGGGGACTACTAAATTATTTGTCGCCTAAAGTCTTGTTTGTTATGGCTACTAAATATTTAGTCGCCAAAAGATTTGTTTTATTTAATTCTTTTTTTAGCTGCTAACTATTTAGTTGGCAAAAATATTGACTTTATTTTTTGCTACCAATTTTTTAGTTGCCAAAACATCATTATATATATATATTTTTAATTTGTCCACACCCACAACCTGTATATATTCCATGCAATCTATACGATATATACAAACTGGTTTATACATGTATTATCACCCATTCAACAATCTACATCCATTTCACTTCCAACCATCTAAAAATTAATACCTTCAAATGTCAATAATTCCATACAAATCAAATACATTAATTCCAATTTAAAATAATAATTCCATACATAACATAAATGATCATAGGAAAATTTCATCCTCCGTATACAAAAATATATTTACTACTATGCCAAATGACTGTTTGGCATGGTACAAAATACCATGGTAATATGTACCACGACAAAAGCTAATCAATAGATCACGACATCAATTATCTGCTCAAAGGCAAAAATATTATGTACCCCGCCAAAAGTATTCTGTACAATTAATACAAACCTACACAAAAAGCAGAGGACGACAAAAATGCAAGAGTTTTCAAAAGTGTAAATTGTCATCCGTCCACAAAAATGGAATATCCACAACTCCATGCCAAAAGCCATCTACAAAAAAAAATAAATAAATAGACCAATTAGTTCCATATATAACATTTGAGCATAATGTCACACCCCTTGTAACTATAATAGAACTTTATCTTAACATTCGTAATTTGATATCGGTTTAACAATATTCTGCCTCATTACTTTTCCTCTAGCAAGGCTAGAGTAGCTTCTGTTTTCTTCCATCACCAAAACATCATTTGACGTTCACTGTTTGGCAGGGTTGATAACATTTTAGTCACTGAAATATGTACTTCCTTTTTTAGTACGAATTGTTGAGTTGCCAAAAAAATGGTCTTATGTTTTATCAAAAAATTGTAATTTCTCCATAACCTGTCTATATTCCGTGCAACCTGTAGTATGTATATAAACAAATCAATACATATTTTATCAATCATTCCACAATCCAAATTACTTCCATCCTTCAAAAATGAATAACTATAAATGTACATATTCCATACAAACGAACTATTTTTCAAACTAAAATTATACTTCTACACAAAATAGAGAAGCATACAAAAATCCAACTGTCCATATACAAAAAAATATATTTAGTACCATGTGAAATGTCCATTTGGCATGGTACAAATTACCATCGTAACCTGTACCACGACAAAAGGTGATCTATATGCCACACCAGTAACTATCAGTTGGATTGCAAAAGTTATCTAACAAAAGTTGGTTGTCACATCCACACGGTGGTTCGGGGGCCGATTCACATTTTCGCCCCCTTAACGCCCTTTTTCGATTAAGTTTAAGGCGTTATCGGCTCTAACTCCCAACCTACACGTGCTAATTATATTTCGTCTATTGTCATAGATCCTATTTGTCGTGAGGAAGCTGGTTGTGACATCTGTATGGTGGTTCGGGGGTTGTTTTGCATTTTTGCCCCCCTTAACGCCCTTTTTTGGTTAAGTTTAAGGCGTTTTCAGCTCTAACTCCCAACCTACATGTGCTAATGAAAGTCCGTCTGTTGTCACTGGTCCTATTTGTTGTAAGGAAGCTGGTTGTGACATCCGTATAGTGGTTCGGGGGCCGATTTGCATTTTCGCCCCTATGTGCCCTTTTCGGTTAAGTTTAAGGCATTTTCGGCTCTAACTCCCAACCTACACGTGCTAATTACATCCTTTCTATTGTCACAGGTCCTAATTTCCATGGGGAAGCTGGTTGTGACATCCGTACAGTGGTTCAGGGGCCGATTCGCATTTTCGCCTCCTTGACGCCTTTTTTCGGTTAAGTTTAAGGCATTTTCGGCTCTGACTCCCAACCTACACGTGCTAATGACAGTCCTTCTATTGTCACTGGTCCTATTTTTCGTGAGGAAGCTAGTTGTGATATCCATACGGTGGTTCGGGGGCCAATTCGCATTTTCACCCCCTTTGCGCCCTTTTTTTGTTAAGTTTAAGGCGTTTTCGTCTCTAACTCTCAACCTACACGTCCTAATTACATCCCGTATGTTGTCACAGGTCCTAATTTCCATGGGAAAGCTGGTAATGACATCCATACAGTGGTTCGGCAGCCGATTCGCATTTTTGCCCCCTTAACGCCCTGTTTCAGTTAAATTTAAAGTGTTTTCGACTCTAACTCCCAACCTACACATGCTAATTACATTCCATCTATTGTCATAGGTCCTAATTATCATGGGGAAGTTGGTTGTGACATCCATACGGTGGTTCAGGGGTCGATTCGCATTTTTGCCCCCTTTAACGCTTTTTTCAGTTAAGTTTAAAGCGTTTTCGGCTCTAACTCCCAACCTACACGTGCTAATTACATTTCGTCTATTGTCACTGGTCCTATTTTTCGTGAGGAAACTGGTTGTGACATCCGTATGGTGGTTCGAGGGCCGATTCGCATTTTCGCCCCCTTAACATTTTTCTGTTAAGTTTAAGGCGTTTTCGGCTCCAACTCCAAACCTGCACGTGCTAATTACAGTCCATTTGTTGTCACATGTCCTAATTTTTGTGAGGAAGCTGGTTGTGACATCCATACGGTGATTTGGGGGCCGATTCACATTTTTTGCCCCCTTAACGCCATTTTTCAGTTAAGTTTGAGGCGTTTTCAGCTCTAACTCCCAACCTACATGTGCTAATTACATCCCGTCTTTTGTCATAGGTCCTAATTTCCATGGGAAAGCTGTTTGTGACATCTGTACGGTGGTTTGATGTCCGATTCACATTTTCGCCCCCTTAACGCCCTTTTTCGGTTAAGTTTAAAGCGTTTTCGGCTCTAACTCCCAACCTATACGTGCTAATTAGATTTCGTCTATTGTCACAGGTCCTATCTGTCGTGAGGAAGCTAGTTGTGACATCCGTATAGTGGTTCGAAGCCGATTCGCATTTTCGCCCCTTTAACGTCCTTTTCCGGTTAAGTTTAAGGCGTTTTCGGCTCTAACTCCCAACCTACACGTGCTAATTACATCCCGTCTATTATCACATGTCCTAATTTCCATAGGGAAGTTGGTTATGACATCCGTACGGTGGTTTGGGGGCCGATTCGCATTTTCACTCCCTTAACGCCCTTTTTCGGTTAAGTTTAAGGCGTTTTCAGTTCTAACTCCCAACCTACATGTGCTAATTACATCCCGTCTATTGTCACAGGTCCTAATTGTCATGGGGAAGCTGGTTGTGATATCCGTACAGTGGTTCGGCAGCCGATTCGCATTTTTGCCCCCTTAACGCCCTTTTTCAGTTAAGTTTTAAGCATTTTCGGCTCTAACTCCCAACCTACACGTGCTAATTACATCCTGTCTATTGTCACAGATCCTAATTTCCATGGGGAAGCTGGTTATGACATCTGTATGATGGTTTAGGGGCCAATTCGCATTTTCACCCCCTTAACGCTTTTTTTGGTTAAGTTTAAAGTGTTTTCGACTTTAACTCCTATCCTACACGTGCTAATTACATTATGTCTGTTGTCACAGGTCCTATTTGTCATGAGGAAGCTGGTTGTGACATCCCTATGGTGGTTCAAAGGCTGTTTTGCATTGTCGCCCCCTTAACGCCCTTTTTCGGTTAAGTTTAAGGCGTTTTCGGCTCTAACTCCCACCCTACACGTGCTAATTACATTCCGTCTATTGTCACAGGTCCTTTTTGTCATGGGAAAGCTAGTTGTGATATCCATACAGTGGTTCGGGGGCTGTTTTGCATTTTCGCATCCTTAAAGCCCTTGTTTGAATAAATTTTAATAAAGAAAGCTACATAGGTTTGTCTCTAGGTCTCCGATTCCTTTAATTTAACCTAATATCCAAGTACGTTACAAAATATTCCTATTTCTTAACATGTTTCATTTATTTTCTATAATAGAATAGTGTGCACAATATGCCATAAAACATTTTATTCATATTTTCTGTATAGTTTTACGATTAACTCGAATTGGTAAGTATGTATAGCGATCCCGGGTTTACCCTTGTTGTATAATGATCCGGACATGTGTCCGTGGATGTTGGTAGTTGTTTATTATCTTGTTTACATCCCTCTTTACTTTGTATTTTGAGTTATAGGATGTGTTGGGCAGGTTTGTTGCAGGTTGGTTGAGTTTGGAAACCAAAACTAGTTGCCCAGATTTTGGCCTGTCCGCTCGAGCGGGGGTTTGGGCGCTCGAGCGGAGATTACACCCATTCAGTATTTTCCTGTGCAGCGTTGTACGCTCGAGCGTAGGAATTGGCCGCTCGAGCGGGGTTGTCTGAGCGCCGCTCGAGCGGGAAGTTGGAAGCTCGAGCGGAGACCTGGCTCTGTAAAAGTGCTGGGAGAGTGCATCCGGCGCTCGAGCTGGAGTTTGGTCGCTCATTTCCCGCTCGAGCGGGGGTCTGTGAGTGACGCTCGAGCGGAGTGTTTTACGCTCGAGCGGGGCGACTGGGTTTAAGTTCCGTGTTTTGACTTTTCAAATCACTTTTTCACTTTCTCTTCTCTCTCCTACTTTTCCAAAAACACCATTGTTGAGCCTCTCACTCTAGAACTCTACCTTCTCTCTAGGTTTTGATCTAGTAGGAGTGATTTGCTCATCTTTGGCCTTTACAAAAAAGTTGTTGATCGTCGAGGGCTACCTTTAAATCTGAAAATTTCGGGTTTTGGAGCACGTTGGGTTTTTTGCCATCTTCTTCTTTGGGGCTCCGAATTTGAGGTAGGGATATCCTACTCTCTCTATGGATTTTGTCTTTAAATTTTGGTATTTTGAGATGTTGGGGTTGGTTTGGTAATTTTGTGAAAGTTTGGGGCTTTTGTGCTATTTTACAAAAGTGGGGTTTTATTTTATAATAAACCTAGATGCATGTCTGGCATAGAGAAATGGAATGAATGTTGAATTATTGATGAAAATGGGACCTGAGGGTTGAAACGTTAATTATGGGAATTGGCCTAATTACATTGTTTAATTAATTGGGATAATTAATTGAGAAGAGTGAAGAAATGAATTGTTGATTGAATATCCATTGTGCATTTATTTTCTGTTTAGAAATAACTGCTTTGGGCTATCGGTGGAGGATAGTCGTGATTGTTGTAGACAATGCATGATGATTAGGCAAACTGAAACTAATCAATGAAGTGTGTCATGGAACTTGACGGTTGATAGAATACATTAACTATATGTATTGAGTGATTGTATATAGAACCAATGTGTTTGTATACGTTATGTGTAGAGGAGGAGATGGGGATGTACTCCGCGGTTTAGGGGAAGATAGGGGATGTACCTCTAAACCGGATAGTGTTGGGAGAAGATAGGGGATGAACTCCGTAGATACAGCTTATATGCTTGTCTAGAGAAGTGAAGATAGAGCTCATATGCTTATCTTTGTGAAGTGTGGATATAGCTTATATGCTTATCCGTGGATATTGTTGTTATACATATCTGTTGTAGAATGTGGATATAGCTTACTTGCTTATCTGAGAATGTGGATATTGTTGTTATAACATATCTGTTGTAGAATGTGGATATAGCTTACTTGCTTATCTGAGAATGTGGATATTGTTGTTATACATATCTGTTGAATGTGGGTAGTGCTTATATGC